TGATTATATTATACTCTCCCACCCGTCATTCTTAATAAACTTTACTATAATTACTCTGGTCAAGTAACTTATTATAACGTTATTAAGCACTCACCTGCTCTCCCAAGGACTCATAAAATATGGTAACAGTACATATATTTATACATATTTATATATATATTTATACATGTTTATTTATTATATTATAAATGTTGATCTATTATCCAGATATATTATTATTCAAATTAGATGAAAATTATTTAATAATGATAGTGATTATAAAGAAGATGTGACTATATAGAGATTTTTTTATTAATTAAAAATTCAGAAAAGCAAAATTGGATGATTATAAAAAGATGTGACTATAAATAAGTGTAATTATAAAGGAATTTAACTATAATTACTTTTTATTTATCAATTATTTATAAATATTATATATCTTAACTAATAAAAAAGATTCTATAATTCTTAAATCTCAAGAATAATAAATAACAATTAAAAATATGTAATAAATTAATGATAAATTTGTTTATTAATAAAATAATAAAATTATATATTTATTATTATATTATAATCTTATAATAAAACTATATATTTATTATATAATATTTTTTAATAAATATTTTCAACATAAATTTCAAATTTCATTCTAGCAGATCACATTATGAATAAATTATTACTATTATTCTAGACTTGTTATAATAATATAATGCTTAAAGTATTATATATTTGATTATTTTATTTATACTTTTTCATCTATTATTATTAATATATATTATTATAATTATTCTGATTAAATAACCTACTATAATATTATAGATTCTTCTATATAATTCTATAATATTCTAAAATAATAATAATATTCTTTAGCAATCTGATTAAATATTCAATATAATATAACAAATAAATATAATTAATTATTTAAATAATAAATATTTAATTAAAGTTATTTTATTTAAGTTATTAATTGAACTAATTACAACAACTTATTTTTTTATAATATAAAAAGTATTTCTTATATACATAATAATTTTAGTTTATATATTATAATAGATTTACTAAATATTATAATATGTTATTAAATATTATAATATATTATTAAATATTACAATATGTTACTAAACATTATAATATATTATTGAATATTACAACATGTTACTAAATATTACAATATATTATTAAATATTACCACATATTCAAATCACATGAAAAAAGTTACATGATTTCAATTTATCTAATAGAAATAAATAAATAAATAATAAATAATTTAAATAAATTTAAATTATTAAAAATATTAAATATAATAAAAAATAATTAATTATTAATATATTGATTTGTAATATTATGGAACAAGACAATAGAAAGATAAAATATTATTATTATTTTTATATGCTTTAAGTTCTTGACGTGTTAATTATATATTTCTACTAACTAAAAGATGAGAAAGATTAAGTTTTATAGTGAAAGAGACTAAAAACTATTACTAAAGATAAATAACATATGTTCTTGTTGTGACGAGCTAAAATGATGTCCAATAACTTCACTAAATTTTACTAAGTTTCTTTATAATTTAAAGATAATAATTCAAGATAATAAGTCTTCCAAGTGACTGTCTTTCAAGTCAAATATAACAATTGATCATTTAATAATGATTTATTTTTCAAAACCAAGATCAATATTAAATATAACTTTAACAAGTTATTTAACAAGAGATTTATTGAAGTAATAAGATTATCAGACTTTTATCAAAGTATTCAAACTTATTTTTCAATCACTAGCTAAATTATATTGCTTTTATAATATTTGATGATTTTACGAAAGTTACTTTTATTATGATACTATTGTTACTTTTACTAAAATCTAATTGCTTATTTTGCTAGTATCATATTACTGTTTTTATTATGATCAGATTGCTGATTTAGCCAGGATTCAATTGCTAGTTTAGCATAAATCATTTTGCTAACTTTGCTATAATCATATTGCTTGTTCTATCATTTAATATTAATGAATAAGATCTTTTCTAGCTAGTGTTCAATAAAATATTAATAAATATTATCCAATGATATTATAATATGAATTGTCCAATAAACAATAAGATAATTAATATACTAAAAATTCATATTATAACAATATGCAAAAATAGCTGATTTTATGAAGATATTCAAGATCCAGTCAGTTGATTACAAAACTTTGAAAATGCATGTCAAGCCAATGTAATTAATAATAATAGAAAAATGCAAATAGTTTGAAAGAAGCCACTATCACTTGGCTCACCAACAAAAAATAGCTGGAAACTGGTCTACACAATGAAAACCAGCTGACAATACCAATGATAATAAACTTGCTTCATTCACGCATCAATTCAAATTACAGTTCAGAATCCAAGATAGAATATATGAATGACAAAGACAATTAAAAGAAGGAAAACAATTATTTGGTGAATAATAAACAGTCGTTCCAACTTTAATCACGCGATTTAGAAGTTTTCACTATCTTAGGAATAGGGTGAACCGATGTTTATTTGATTTGTTCACTGAGTGGATGCACGAGACTTTTGAGTGTGAATCTTCCTCACTATCCTAATATGCTACAATTGTTATTATTCCTGATGAAAAAAATTCTAGAATTCAGGTTAATAATGGATTCGTTGTTAAACTATATACTGTTACATATTTTTCACTAATTGTGAAATTAGCTAATTAATATGACATGTTTTCAACTACCATGTTGGGCATCACGATTACGTAAAATTTACTAACTTATTTACACACAGGTAAAATAATTATTCATATTCTTTTACGTTTTTTCACAGGTGGACTTGTATTTGTATCTATTCTTGTTGTATTTGTTGCCGAAGACGACAATGAAGAAGTTGTTGGTATATTCGTTTCCGTTGATCGAATTTGATTTGTTTGAGATGGTAAATTAACTGAAGACGCGTCTTTGATTTTTTCGCGAATGTTGAGAACAGTTGAAGAGATTGGCTGTTGCATAAAATAATATATCGTAGAATGTTACGATAGAAAAATTTATTCATCCATCAAAAATACATAATTAATAAATGATCAGACCTCATTACTCGACTCCTCTTTATGCCTAGAGGGAGGAGCAGTTGCAATATATCCAATACCTGGAATTGGAGGTTCATTACTAATAAAAATTAGAAACCAAAAAAATAATATTTAACATACACGGAAGTTCCGACCAGAAAATTGTCGATCAAATGCCTTGCAAAAAATTACCTCTTATAACTCATATACGAAGAATACTGTGAACTCGACGGATAATAACCTTGAGGTGGGAAATTATAGTATGCATTAGGATCTGGTTGTGGAAATATTGGAGGTGGTGGTGGATCAGGTGGAAGAGGAGGCTGAGAAGTAACAGTAGCAGTATAATAATTATTTATTGTGTTATCACGAGTTTGGATGTTAGTACTTTTTAATTGCTGTTGTCGTTGCTCAGTAGTCGATGAAGATGGTATTGAAGATGACGATGATTGTGTTTTAATTGCAACCACGGTTCGTCTATCTTGCAATTTTTCTCGTGTGTCTTGTATTGATTCGTATTCCGGTCCATATCGAACTGAAAGTGGTGAACTAAAGAAAACGTGGTCGTCTAGTTTTCGTTTTGCTACCCTTACAATTAATTAATTAAGGTTATAATAATAATATTAACTATTCTTCTAAAGATAGAATTTAAATGAGAAGGAAGGATGAGTGGCGAATACCTAGACTCAACCAAAGATCTGTATTTTATCCAATAGACGTCTGTAAATTCCTCGCATGGATAATCATCCAAGTATCGATATCTTTCATTATTATATTATTATTATCCACGAGAGTTGAATAAGAAGAATCAAAATCAAATCAAAAGCAGTCCCAAGATGATTCTTACTCTTCGACAGTTCCATACAACGCGAACAGCTCCAACAACTCTTTGGTCACTCCAATACTTGGAACATTTTCAACAACTAAATATCTACAGATGAGATGATACCACGTGATTTTATTAAAATATGGATATCCAGATTTGTTATAGAAATAGTAATAGAACGTACCTTGACTCTTGGTTCACAGTGTACACTTTTACTGCTGTTGGTTTTCGTCCTGCTCTGTACTTTGGCCGGTTTTCGGCTGGTGCTGATACATAGTTGTGAAAAATAAAAAAAAACTGAATTTTAATTACTCTAATAATTTATTTAATATTCAATGACATGTGGGTATTTACCTTCTTTGTTCATTATATAAATTTTCAAATCCTAAAATCATGATGATTATCACGATGAAATTTTAACTCGCAATAATTAAAAAAATGTCGCAAATAGCACGAAAACTAGTACGAGAATCAGCAGCGACATTACCGATAGTCGAACAAGCTAGCAAGAAAAAAACCCTTCCAGAGTTATTAAACGTGTTTCCAAGATATGGTGTAGGGCAAAAAGTGGTATCTATCAATATCTATAATCGATTAGAGAAAAAAATCAAATTATATCAAAATTTATCATCTAAAACACACAAAAGCTCCCTAATAAATGGATACATAAAGGATTTCGTAATCACTATATACAAGTGACAAGAGTTCGATTTAGGAAAGACGTAAGTTTGTCCCGAGGAACATTTTTTAGATTATATACTAATTAGTTGATTGTTGATTGTAATAAATAATTCAAAAAGAGCTTGAGAATCGGGAAAGCCTGGGGACACAAATATTGGAATGGTATTTTCTTTCTTTTTCTTTTAGTTGCATCAAGAAATTTGTCATGATATATTATGATTCCAATTTCATATTTTTAAAGGTAAATTGGTTGATGATGGTAAAGAAAAGCAAATTCGTGGTTGGTACAAATGGTATTGGCTCAGATGGCCAATAAAAGATGAACGTGAAGCGCATTGTCGCGTGTGGTCTTAACAGTTATTGTATTTATTATTGTTGGTTTTTTCTCAACACATCCATACACAACACATCTATTAAAATACACGAATCTAATTCCTCCAAAGACATCTTTGCCCTTATGTTTTTGTTGAAAGTCGAATTCACAAACCAGCCCTTTCTCCCAAATGAACTTTCAAAACCAAGACTCTTTACCGTATACTATCGCGTTTGCCAACGCGACAGTAGAAAGCGTGATTGGGATTGGTTTTCGTGATTTTATTGACTTGGGAAGGTTAATTAGTAAATATGTCAATGACCATGCTTTTTGATAACATTATGTTATTTGTTTTTCGGAAAAATCGTAATTTTTTATTTTTTTTAATGTGTTGTAGAAATATAGTAAATACATAATACGATACCATACGAAAAGATAAAGCGAACAGATAACAAACCTGTTGATGTTCCCGCGCCATTATAGATGTCGCCAGTATACGTGATATATCTTTTGTAGCGAAATAATAGAATTGTTCAGTCAAAATGAAAAATAAGAAGAAACACTAAAAATAAAGAAAAAACAGCTCTCTTCGCGTTTTAACATGTACCCAGAAAACCCAAATATCGCTCCAAACGCCATACACTGAAAATACGAAGGGACTCCCTGGAATTTTCGCATTCCCAGAGGCGACGAAGCGAGACCTTCAAACCAAAAAACTTATCGTCAGATTTTTTTTAAATTCTTCCGCTTGATAAAAAAGTGTATTTTTGGTTACATACAAAGTGCAGAAAACGTCCATGCCGGATACGGAGATTTCCCTAAATTAAAAGAGGTATCAAGTTGTTTTTTTTCTTTTTGTAATTGTTGTATGTCATTATCATTTTTGGTATTTTCGTTTGAAGGAGGAAAAGTCGTATTGGCATTAGTGGTTGTTTTATTAGTAATTGACATTTTAAATTATGTCATGTCATCTGTATAACACATTGAAATATAGTAACATTACATTATTCTATCAATTACCATAGTCCCTATTTAGTAAGACCTAAAATATTTAGTATATAAATATCTAGACTTTCGTGGGATAAAACCTCAACTTCTGAAAACATAAAATTAAGAAGCAAAATCTGAAGACATAAAATTAAGAATCAAATTCTTACTAACATACATTGAAAATGGACGCAAGACCTCTTCCGCCAGGCTGGATTTCAGAGGTGAATTCTTTTCTTCTGTTTCGATTTAGCATTCATAAAGATAATTCACATTGTGTATAAACTCGTAACTAACGTTCTTCATAATGGATTTTCATGCATAGTATGATACGGCAAGTGGAAAGTACTTTTTTGTAGGTAAATAAATCAATTCCAAAAAGAAATGATGAAATAGTTTAAAATTCAAGTTGTAATTTATTATCAATAACAAAAAATGTCTTCAAACCTAATAGACACAACCAAACAACCACCATTCACTACGTGGGATGACCCAAGAAACAATAACTATCCATCACAAACTTCATTACCATCACCTTATCCAACGTTCCCAGACGGTGCAACATCATCACCGATGCCAGGTCAATCTTTTCCTGACGCTCGAGGAGGTGGAGGAGGATATCCACAGCAAGATTATCCGCCTCAAGGGCAATTTAGCAGTAATGGTAACTATCCACCTGCGTATCCGCAACAACCGACGGGATATCCGTACCCTTCACATGATCAATCATTAGGAGAAGGAGGAACTTATCCTTCGATTCCACAACCACAACCACAACCACAGCAACAACAACAACCGGGTTACCCATCTTCGTCATCGTCATCTTATTATTCACAACAAAAACAAGAATATCCACCCCAAAATCAAGGATATCATCAGCAGCAGCAGCAGCAGCAACAAGTAGCAGTAGGCGGCGAAGGTGGGCAACCAGGTGAAAAAGGAATGCTTGGTAAAATAGCAAAATTAGGTGCTGGAGGTGCGCTCGGTGCTGCAGCTTTGAGTGCATTGTCAGGTGGTAAACCTGGTAAACCTCATAAACCTAATAAACCTCATAAGAAACCTGGATTAGGGGGTCTTGCCGCTGGAGGATTGGGCGGAGCCGTATGTATTTTTGTGTGACTTTTTTTATTAAAGCCATTTTCTATCGGAATATTTCTTTATTAAAATAAATTTTCAATTATAGGCGGCTGGGCTATTACTTGGCTCTGCTTTGAAGGGACACGGACACGGATTCGGCGGATTCGGCGACTATGGGAGTGGGTCCGATTCTGATTAATTTACAAGTGGATGTATATTATCTGTTTCTTTTTTGGTTTCGGTTTTGGCTTTATGAATTATTGGTTACATACATTCTTTTAGGTATAGTAGTTACTGTGTAAAAATATCAACCTGTATGTATACCCAGATATATATATTAATTTTGAATATAACGATCCCAAATGTTCGATCTGTCCAATGGCAATCTAGTTTTCTTCAAGTATAATTTTTGACACGTAGAACCTATACTTCAACTGTACCATATTTATCAACTTTTCGTTTCGAAATATTATAGCTTCTTTCTAACAATTAAATACAAAATAAATCTAAAAAAATGACAAAAGCCACCGAAACATTTACATTTCTCGGAGTTGCGTGTATACTTTACCTCGTTTTACTGTTTGGCCTGATACCGACACCGACTATCGTTAAAGAGGAGATTTTGACTGTGGTATAAAGAAAATGAAGTTGCGCCGCATTTTGATTTATTTTTTTACGTGACTGATTCAAGTCGGAATAATAAAATTCTATCTCTAAATCTTTTTTTAAATAAAAAAGTTTCCATGGTGGGTGTTAGTCTCATTTGGTGCATACTCATTAGGGAATATCGGATATCACGTATACAAGTTTCGGGATTGTGAAGAGGCATATCATGAGTTAATGGAGGTAAAATTCGTTATGATTAGTGATTTAGAATCCCATTATGAAATATTATTAAAATTGTAATTTATGATTGCAGGAAATCAATCAGGCAAAAGAGGATTTACGTGAAAAAGGAGTGACGGTTGATTGATTGATTTAAAGATTAGTTAAAGTGTTTCGTTGAATGTTTTTGTCAAAGAATAATCAGAATTTTTTTATATTGGTTATTTTTCTGCATTTCGTTTGTTCTATTGGGTAATTACGATCGAAATTCTTTTTTTGGGTAAAAAATGAATTTCTAGATCCACACACAAGAAATATGTATGCATATTAGAAGTAATAATTTAATAATTAATTATCATTCGAGCAGCCTCATTGTAATAAATAAATAAACAAACAAATAAATTAAATAGCACGCGTAAAAAGATCATCACCAACAATCCCATCTAACCCTTTTAACACAACAGTACACAGAAAATTTCTGACCATCTCGGTAGCGGTTCCTGCCACTTTAACAACTAGACCTCTCAAATTATCCTCACTTTCACTACGATTGCTATCCTCACTTTCACTACGATTGCTATCATCATTACTTTGATTACTATGATTCCTATCGCCACGGTTACGATTATCGCTATTCGATGATAATACAGAAGCCGACCAAATCAATTCCGGTAGTCTCGTTGATTTATTCACAACAATCGAATCAAATTCTTCAAGTACATGCCGCATCAAACTCCGAACTCTCGGTCCATAAATAACACAAGTTGCATAGCATTGATACGGCTCTAACCGATCTTTAATCAAATTATGTGTAATCTCATCAAAAGAAAAAACTGTGGTATTATTCTGATGTCGTTGAACTAACGAGACCACATCACGAAACACCAATTCCTCTTCAACAAGAATATCAACACCGGACTCATATCGCAAAAATTCCCACTTTTCACCGCGTGACATTCGACCACTCGTAAACCAGTCTAGACAGACGATTGACGCGGTTTCATCTTCCAGCGCGAATGTTTGTCGTTGTGTGAACACAGAGTCGCGAAAACATGTCGTCGGTTCTGGAAGTTGAAGTAGTAGGGAATTTTTGTGAATGCGCGCATTAATCTTTTGTTGTGTGGTGGATGTCGACGATGATGATGATGGTATTACTGTTTTTGGTGAAATTGGTGGCGCATTCAAGTCTTCTTTGACTGCCACACTATAATTCCTTGGGTGTTTTTGTTGTCCTAAGTTTCGCTTTTTATACACTTTTGTCGAACCCTGAGTAAGCAGCATTAAATTAACCCCCTCCAAACACTCGATCTTCACAGAAATCACGTCACCCGACACCAGTCCTCCGCCATATGTCAAAAGATAAACGGCTGCCAAGTGAGGTGAGTGAGTACGTGGAGAAATAAATTTCAAAGGATATGAAGCACGATACGTGGAAAATACTGGCTTTACACTGCACTTTGATAGTTCACAGATAATGTGTCCTTCGCCTGGGTTTGATTTTGGTCCTGTTAACAGTGGTTGTAAATGGGTGGTTGCAATAGTCGCCATATTTTATTAAGTATTCTCAATGGGTGGTTGCAATAGTCGCCATATTTACCAAGTATTCTCAACGCGTGTATTAGGTTATGGTATTCATGTGGTATATTATAAAAGCTAGTTCCAATTGTGGTGAAGATATGCGCGTAATGAAATAGAAACTACCCGACATCTGGGCACATGTAAAACTAATTCAAACTAAAAGGAAAAATGTCTACAAAAAATCCCACATCATTTTTCCTACCTTTGTCAATACTTTCTGGGTCTTTTGCAGCATTAGCTTCAGTGTTTGCAAAGTTGTTCACTGATACGCGAACAAAACTTTTCGCTGAATATTTATGTGACAGTATTCTGAAAGAGACTTTTATAGTAGGATGTACGAAGAATGGTGGTAGTGATATTGGGGTATGTGAGGATATTCTTATAGAATTATCAATCTTTTCATTCATCGCACATACGTACATTTAATAGATAATCTACCCAATCCGAATACTTTGTTTTGCATTAATATTCCTATGTAACGCGTTAATGTGGACTTTCTTTACGAAAGCATTGAACGCGTCCAGTTCTTCGGTACAAGTTACGGTGGTCAATAGTGCTATGAATTTTTGCATGACGGTAATTTTAATTTTATTTTATAGTTACATTTTTGCAAGGAATTTAATTTGATTTATTTTTAATGTTAAATAAGGCGATTCTCGGGAAATTAATATTCAGCGAAGAGCTACGAGTGCAATGGTGGATAGGTGCACTGTTGATAGTGATTGGTACGGTATTAGTTAATATCAGTAATAGTAGTAATAATAACGAAAGCAACACTAGTAATAGGAATATTATAAATGATGAGAATGATAACGGTAAAGATGATGAGGATAAAAAATATATATGATTGCGTTTTTATAAAAATAAATTATATATAGTGTGAGACAAAAAAACTGTTTCTATCAACCATCATACTTTGAATAAATCTACTTAACTATAAACGGTATATCTTAATATTATTTTTTAAATCTGCGTTAAAAATGATTTAAAAAAACGAAGACAATTTTATATATAAAACAGTATTAATTTAATTATCTTTTTTTATTATGATAAGACTTTGATTTATTGCATAATAAAAATTTAATTAATTTATATTTTAATTTACAAATATATTTTATAATATAAAGACAAATTTACTATAAGATATACCGATTTATAGTTTTAAGTAAATTTATTCTTTATATTTCAAAGTACATATATAAATAAATTTTTGAGGCATGGATTTTCTATTTATCACACGTTTCACACGCTGTATTTCCCTCAGTCTTTTTCACATCACTATGTCCAAGATCCATACCAGGTGCAACTCGATCACGTACACGTTGTTTCTAATTTCAAAAAAATAATCACAAAAAAATAGAAATAATAAAAATCAAAGAATAGAGAAAGAGCACTCACCAATTCTTTTAATTCCGGAAATCCACCTTGTTCTTTTCGATCCCATACTAATTCTTTAGCGATGAATCAATAAATAGATCAATTCTTTTTCACATAATATATTTCAATTTTCGAAACTACAACTACCTCCATCAAGCACCACCCGAAACACAGCGTCTGTACCAGGCACTAATGCCACTTCTCCGAGGGTGTTAGAAAATGTGACTAGTAACTCTTGGGCCATCCAACCAGCGCGCAGTAACCTAATTTACATCGATGATCGTTTAAGATAATGAATGATGCGGTATCCGTCCTATGCGTACGTATTTAAATTCGCATACATACCAACGACATTTTGTGCAAAATTCAATTTCTACCCGTGGCAAACGTGGTGTTGTATTTACTAGTGCTGTTGGTTTGGGTACTTCAGACATTTTTTAAAATAATTGCAACAGTATATGCTATCATGTATTTATAGTTTTTTTTTTGATGAGATAATCGGCTGTGAGACGTAGATTTTGAAATAATAGATCACAAGATCGATCGCTTTTTCGAGATTGATTTCTTCTGTCTTCTTGTATTTTCGATAAATAAGAATTAATAAATGGTATGCTTTCAGCAAAAAATCAAGCATACATTCTTTTCCACGAAAGTTTAATTAATGCTCTATATAATATAAGGCAGGAGCACTAGATAATGCAAAAAGTACTTTACCCAGGATTCGGGACGAGGAAAGAGAAAGTGAATTTGGTTATGTATTTGGAGTGTCTGGGCCAGGTGAATCTCTTGATTAGTTTATTACATATCTGATTTATTTAATGAAAATGTAAAAAAATATAAAAGGAGTTGACACCAATGCTTCATTGTTCATATTAAGTTTGAATTTGGATTTTTTTCTCCAAGGATTGTAAAATTTCTGTTATTAAAATATAATTCTTATTTAGTTGTGATTGCCGAACAAATGAATGGGTCGGCTATGTACGAATTGGTAGGTAATCGAAAGAAAATCTACAACAAGAGAATCTTTTTGTATTGATTGATCTCTGACAAAGAAGGATTTGGATATTTTAGGTTCGTGTAGGTTACCAAGAACTAGTAGGAGAAGTTATTCGCCTTGATGGCGATAAAGCTACGATCCAAGTATACGAAGAGACTGGTAATTTATTTGTTTGTCAGAGAATTTATTCATATACAAAATTAGATCGGTATAAAGAAAGAATCGAGATAATGATTGTTTGCATGTATTTTTATATTTTCTCTTTTTAGCTGGATTAGAAGTTGGCGATCCGGTATTAAGAACGGGAAAACCGTTGTCTGTTGAATTGGGACCTGGTACCATTTTTATAATATTTTAGATATGTTTTGTTCACTTGTTAACGCTAATATTTATATATTTATATATTTCTATATTGAAATTGCTACATTTTATGTTTAACAAATAGGTTTGATGTCTAATATATATGATGGGATCCAACGACCACTCAAAGTAAGCTTTTTATTTTATAGTTTTACTAATTTTGCAAAATATCATGCTCTTGATGTATTTATTTACTAATCGAATATTTTGCTTAAATAGTCAATTCGCGAAATATCAGAAAGTATTTACATACCACGTGGAATTTCTACACCTGCTTTGGATAAAAAGATATCGTGGGATTTCCAACCTGCTGGTTATAAAGTTGAGTATTGAATTAACAAACTAACCTTATGTTATTTTTATTTCATGATGTCGCTAAAGATATGGTTTTTTTTTAGGTCGGCGATCACATAACGGGTGGTGACATCTATGGAAATATTTACGAAAACTCGTTGTTGCACCAACATTCGATACTTTTACAGCCTAAAGCTCTTGGTACTATTACACACCTTGCGGAGCCTGGATCATATACATTGGAAGTAAGCATGCATCGAAAAATCTACTTTTTTTGATAATTTAATCATAGATAATCTAATAATGAATTTAATTATATAGGATGTAATTCTAGAAACAGAATTCGAAGGAAAGAAATCAAAGCACACCATGTTACAATTATGGCCAGTTCGGTCACCACGTCCTGTCACCGAAAAATTGTCTGCAAATTACCCGTTGCTTACTGGACAACGTGTGTTGGATGCTTTGTTTCCGTGAGTAGTTTGAGTATGATCTTTCACTCACATACACAAATGTATTATTGGTTATTGATGAAATAGTTTCTGAATAGTTGTGTGCAGGGTGGTACGACTGCTATTCCCGGCGCTTTCGGGTGCGGAAAAACAGTTATTTCACAGTCATTATCAAAGTACTCCAATTCTGATATTATTATTTATGTTGGTTGGTAAGTGTCTTTGATATAATCCATTTTTAAATTTCTTTTTTTTTGTATCGGTGTTTATTGTATTAATTATTTCTATTATTTATATACGCTTTGTTTCTAACGTGAATAGTGGTGAACGTGGTAACGAAATGGCTGAAGTATTAATGGATTTTCCAGAAGTAGGGATCTTTTTTATTACTAGTTCTATTAAGAATTTATCTTAAATTAATTAATATTATCTCTGGTGATCATCATAATATAAGCTTTCTATTAATGTGGATGGTCGCAATGAATCTATTATGAAACGTACAACATTGGTGGCGAATACTTCTAACATGCCGGTCGCTGCTCGTGAGGCATCTATTTATACCGGTAATAACATTAATAACATTAATAACAGTATTGAAACAGAAAAAATGCTTTTGATCTTTATGTGGAAATTGGTTTTATAAAATAATTTTTTAGGAATCACACTTTCCGAGTATTTCCGTGATCAAGGCAAGAACGCTGCCATGATGGCAGATTCGACTTCACGATGGGCTGAAGCTCTTCGTGAAATTTCGGGACGATTAGCTGAAATGCCTGCTGGTTAGTGACTGATCAATATCTTTATTTTTTTTTAATTTTTAGTGTGTATTTTTAATTTTGGATTTCCCATTTTTTTTTGTGTATGCTTTTAGATAGTGGGTATCCAGCGTATTTAGGTGCTCGTCTAGCTTCCTTCTATGAGCGTGCAGGAAGAGTTACGTGCCTTGGAAATCCTAAACGTGAAGGAAGTGTAACTGTTGTCGGAGCGTATCCTTTTGCTTGAACATTAACATCACCGAATATATCTTCTATCCTAAAATTTACGATACCATCCATAAAATAATCCTTAACTTCCTCTTTAACCAATAAAATCTAAAGTGTTTCCCCACCAGGCGGTGACTTTTCCGATCCCGTGACCTCTTCAACACTTGGTATTGTCCAAGTATTCTGGGGTCTCGACAAAAAACTCGCGCAACGTAAACATTTCCCCTCAGTAAATTGGTCGCTCAGTTTCTCGAAATATCTTAAAGTTTTGGAAGGTTATTATGAGGCGAGTGAACCCGAGTTTATTGCGCTTCGTGATAAGACTAAAGAAATTTTGCAAAAGGAGGAAGATTTGTCGGAGATTGTGCAGCTTGTTGGAAAGGTGTTTTGCTTTGCATTTATTTTTTCTTAGATATTTATTTGTTTATGGATTACTAACTCTGAAGTATTTTTTTATTGTCAAGAGTGCTCTTGGTGAAGCTGATAAAATTACGCTAGAGATAGCAAGAATTATTAAAGACGATTTCCTCCAACAAAATGGCTATTCTAATTATGATCGATACTGTCCATTCTACAAGGTACTTGATATAGTCATTTACCATATGTTACCTTACTAATAGACTATATTTGATTTTTTTCTATTGATGATAAAAAACAGACCACTTGGTTACTCAAAAACATGATCGGCTTCTACACAGCAGCCACACATGCTGTCGAGGTCACAAACAATGAAATAACGTGGACAAAGATACGTGAAAGAATGGGCGATTTGTTGTATAAATTGAGTTCTATGAAGTTTGAGGTATTTTTTGTCTCTGGGTGGTTGTTTTTTTTTGTGATTTTGATTAAGTTATATTTCTATTTCTCGAAAAAAAGGATCCAGCAGAAGGGGAAGAAGTGATTCGTGATCGATACCAACAACTTCATAATGAGATTCAAGAAAGGTTTAGATTACTGTTGGAATAGAATAATAAGTCAACCAATAATAAATTAATTTTTTTTGTGTGTATTTTATTCAGCTTTTTTTATTGTCTGTATTTTCTTTTTATTTATTAATTGATAGTATGTAGGATATTTGTGAGTTTTTATAATTGTATATTGTGAGAAATTCTCGGCTGTATGTTTGTTTTTTTTTTAATATCTGTTTTCCTTCGTTAGTTAGTTTTATCATTTATTATATTAACGAACCAGAATTCATTCACGAACTATAAACATTATTAAATTATAAGATAATACTGTCGATGCTGTTAATTATAATTAAATTGTTTCTTTGTGTGAATCTTTTCGTGTATTAATTGGAATCATTAAAACAGAACGCACACATTTTTCTTTACGAGAAATATAATAATAACAGCAATAATGATGATTGTACAACAACAATGATAATTGTACAACAATTATTGATTACGATTATTATTAAAAAAATTATTAAAAAAAATAAATCACATCACCACCTCACCATCACCACCTCACCATCACCACCTCTTTCTTCTTCTTCAAAACCTTCATCTTCTTCATCACCATCATCAATGCCGTCGTCAACGTCGTCTTCACCTTCTCCTCGATACTTGTATCGATCGAGGATTTCTTCCAGCTCATCACGTTCATCAAGAATTTTGAGAAATTCTTGAATGAACGGGACGTAATTGAATTTCCGGCGTTCGTTTTCCGCCTACATGATCATCGTTATTATATAAAGGCATAGAAGTATTCAAGATTTGATAATATCAAATATAAGAAAATGAACAAACTTTACCTTTGCTTGTTCTTTTGATTCACGTGCTTGTTTCTCATTTACCATAGCTTGACGAATCTGTTGAGTTATAAGGCTTCTTTTTTCTACCAACTCATTAATCCCTTTCATGAATTTGATCTCTTCAATTTCGGCAGTCACGCGCGGTTTCTTGAGCGCTTTCATTTCAAAGTTTTTAATTAATGGAATTTCTCGGGACACCTAAAAATTAATCAGACATACACGAATTAAAGAGAAAGAACAGGGTCAAAGGTTAATTGATCATAGCATGAAAATGAAATAACCGGTTCCTTCCGAACAAGTGAATAAAACTAACTTACTTTATTAATGTTATTATTATGCACGTTCCAATTTGGATCAAGCTCATTTAGTCGACGGTCGATCGTTCCTTTGATTACAATTTTCTCGCACGCTTTTTCACGATTATAGACTTCAAGATCATGAACGACAGCCATCAGGTTGTACTCGATACCTTCGCTTTGATACCTTTTTTTGGTTTATTACATTCAATGTATTGATACATTTATATAAGGTTCCACAACTTTTAGGCAGTTGGAAATTGATATGCAGCAAACTGACCTTTCCAATCGTTTCCTGATAGAATCCTTTGCGACTTCCATCCAATCGTCGCCTTTGATTTCGCCTTATTACAAAACCAAAACATATTTATCAAAAAATTAATGTAGGAAAGATTCTAAAAATAACTGTTACCTATTTTCCGTGGATTACGAGCTAAACCATCGAGTTCAAACACGCTCCCATTTACCGGTACATAACCAGTATAATGGAAAACATCATCATCTTCCTCCTCCCAATATTCTTCCACATCCCCTCCTTTATTTTTCTTTTTAGGTTTTTCTATTTCTACCAAATCGAGATCTTCTTCGAATCTGTTAATTTAAAAAGAAACAAAATAAATATATTTTCTTTTGCTCTTTTATTAGATGAAATATCGATTCAGTGGTACCTAACAAAACGATTATGATTTTCACGAAACTTGTTGGTATTTGTCATGGCTAAACCTTTCAACTAAGAAACAAAGAAATGTATAAGCTCAAGTGAGAAAATCTTAATAATAAAATTTTGATGATGTTACTTACTGGCGGCTTGAAATCTCTCGTGAAATTTTTGAATTGATTCAAGTCATTTCCGATTTCGATTTGATTACAGTTCAGGACAATATTCAAAAGGGCTTGTGTTGCGCAGGCGTTATCAATAACCTTTACAATTTGAATATTTAACGACAATTGATTCGTGATTAATTTCGAAAGTAGCAAAGTATCATAATATGCATGCTATCATTATTTCTTACCTGATTGGCAAAGTACACTTGCAGCAATTCTTCATCGTCGTCAAATTCTTCGCCGCTTTTATCAATCTCCATGCTTACCTTGAACAGAAAAATTAATCCGTATACTTCGCTATTATTTTATCAAACAAAATTTCACATCAATAATCGGGGATATTTTTTCAAACATACATTTATATTTAATATGCATATATGTAAGTATAATTTACCCGACTCTTTCCCACTCGTTTTTATCATCAAACTCCCAGTATACATCGACTACCTGAGTATCCTTCACACCAAGGCCTTGCAATAACGAGGTGAAAACTCCTTAAGATATAGAACAGTATTTGCAAAAAAAAATAAGTTTTTAAGGACAGGATTTTCTTTATTGTAGAATCTTGAAGAGCTTCTTTTTTTCTGTACGAAGGAATACAATAAAAATAATTCCGCCTTGCCTGGATCTGACTCTATTAAAGCCCATGGGCCTCCTTCCAAGTGTTCCTGCAGCCTAGGCTCGTGAGTTCGTGCTGACATGTTCACGAGGTTTTAGTTTGTAGTGTAATTGTGTGTTATATATATATGTATTTCGCGTTTTTTCCTTACAAATCAAACGAATAAAAACGTGATCGGTTGCCTCTTGCGTCACTTTTTGTCATTTTTTGTCATCGCATCAAGTGGATTATTTTGTGGTTTTCCAAACACATCAAGTATGGGTAAACCAAGTAAGTGAAAAGTTAATTTGGTTTTGGTTTTTGGTTTTGTATTATTTTTAAATTGATTTTTTGATGACTTCTTTAATAGAGCAATTTCGACCAAATCAAATGCAAATAGATCAAATATCCGCAGTTCAAAGAGTAATGGACGTGGATTCAATTCCAAAAAAAAGTAAATCATTGGAATTCATTTTTTAGACTTTGATTATCAATTCAAGAAAAAACTACTAGATAATAACAATCAACTACCAGGATCCAACGAAAAACCACATCTTTATCCACCGGTAGTAACACAACTTCGCACTAAACAAGGCGCCGATAAACTTCCAACATCACTACTACGTGGATCGATAAAAAAACGAAAAAAAACCACAAAAGGGAAAAAACGGCAGAATCAATTGTTGGCAAAAGCGTTAACTCGTTCGGATAAAGAAGGAAAAAAGTTGGTTAGCAAAAATGAAAAGATGGTTAAATTGAAACAGCGTAAATCACTTTGGCAATAATTTACACGAGAAAAATTTACATAATTATAAAATTTGGGTAGCTTAAACGTTTTCTGAAAAAAATAACTGAATAAAATCAAGTAATCAAGATTTTTGCAATTCCAATGGTAAATTCGACATCAGAAATCTACTACGCTCTAGATACTAAATGAGAATTCCACCAGCTGAGTCCCAGGATTTATGATTCCTGCTTATTTAGACCAAGTTGATCTAACTTAGTATCCAGATTTCAGGGGTGGTATGGATAGGCGAATTAGTATGATATATACCCTTGGAAAAGGGTTAAGAAGAGATTAAAAGTGATTATCATTATTTCAAGACATACGATAAATTTGTGCACTTTGTAAATAAAATTAATTCTGCAAAAGCGTAAAAACGTAATCCTTCGGAATGAAGTCGTGGAGCAAAATATTATAAAATTTACATAAACACATGATTTTATTAATTCTCAGTTTCAGTTTATAAAAATCTAAATTATTCTAAATAAAAATTTTAAAAATTAATCAATGCATAGATTTTGTCCGCTTTCTCGGTCCGTTTCTTTCCCTGGTATCATTTTGATTCGAGTCATGCTGAATTACACGTTCACTCGATGCAGCTTTAAAGTTAATATAAGCTAAAGTAGAAAAAAATCGATTAGTTAATATATTAAGATAATTTTTTGGGTAGCATAATAGCAAAAATAGAATTCCTTACTCCGATCCAGAGCCAGCTCTATCATGCACCGATTTCTGATTAATGCTAATACTGGCCATGTAGATTGTTCGCCTTTCAGAATCCAGGAGTCTAAGGAACCAGCAGTTGGATTTGAGAAAAGCTCTTTAAAGTCCTATTAATAACATATCAAGAAAAATTAGAATCATCTTTTTTTAATATTGACAATACGATTTCATAATAAGTTATTATTCACCTTAAAAGAGAGATGTGGTACTATAGTGACGTTTCCTGATACTTTATCGTCAACCATGCCTCGAAGTAACTTTGGAATTAACCGCATATGCTCCAACTTATAAAATTTATAAAAAATAATTAAAAATGTTAATTAATATTTAAGATTCACCAACGGAAATTGCAACATAACTAACCTGCAATATTCGATGTCTAAATTCAGATGAGATAAAATGACCACATTTGTACAAAATTCTTCCGGTTCGTGACATTGGCTCTTGTGGCATAAACGGAACAATATATGGATTTGCTTGGGACACAATAAAGTGATTCACGTTGAATAGTTCGGTGATTCTTTGGAATGGGGATTCACTGTAAATTTTTTATTATTAGAAATAGATATGCTGTTTTGGTATTTAAACCTTAAAAACATTTTTAATCGAGTCAGATTAAGAATTTTTACCTTTCTGAGGGAACAGCATCAGTCCACTTTTTCCACTTGACATCTAGTTAAAAAAGAGATATAAAAACAGATAAATACAATGAATTATTCATATAATATAATAAATATAGAGAAAAATCAACTTGCTTGTGGGCGCCCAAGGCACAATAGCGCCAGTTTTATCTTTAGCCAACAGTTCGACACTACTATAGAGACCCATCATTGCAGCCGAAGCAAGAGCCGCGCTGCGTATCAACTTGATCAAATTGTAATCAAACTATTATTAACCTCGGATTTTAATTTATATTTGTTTTTTTTTTAACTTACGACATTTGGAGCTGTCAAGTAATTAAGAAGTTGAGGAACTTCGTATTTTCTTGTGGATGAGACGGTGATATTGAGAACTCGGTTTGTTCTTGCAAACGCTTCCTAATTTCATTAGAGAATCATTAATATATAATACATGTTAGAAAAACAATGAATGAAGAAATCATCATACTTCGAAAGTGAGATCCTCGACATTGCTTCTCACACATTCTTCCAAAACCTTGACATCCATAAGATAACCTTTTATAAATTATTAATTGTATTTATTTTGCTAATATAATAAATTAACTGCAAAGAATAGAAAAGTTTTTTTTTTATAAATAGTAATAGTAAACATTCGAAATACCATGCTTCAAGAATCGACTAATTTTTCGCTGGATGTTTCCTTTTTGGCCAACTCTGCTGAACGCACCAAGGTCAATGCCACCAGGTTTAAAAACAGCCTAATGGTTAAAGAAAAAAAAATAAGTAAATCATTTATTTAAATGGGAGGGAATTCTATCAACAACATCGTAGATATATTTTCAAAAGAATCCAATCACAACGCATACCGGTAATTCTTCATCTGTGTGAATACAAACAAGAGCAGCAATCAAAGCGCCAATCGCAGTTCCGCTAATAATTCTTGGCAACAACCCATTCTCATTTAATGCCTTACAAACTCCCAAATGGTAAAGGCCTAAATAAAAGTGAACGATTAAAATTAATAATTGCCTAATAAGAAAAAATTCAAGTAAAATAGATATTAATCCTTTTTGTAACTTACCGAAAGTAGCACCCCCATAAAGTACTAACGCAGTGCACCCAAAACTCTGTCGTGTCTCATAATAAAAATCAATTTTGGACCGAAGTTGCAAATCTGTGTTGCCAATATACTCGAGCTGGCGTACTACTTCCTGGGTGTAATCTTCTATTAGCTTTTTGGTTCTACATCAAGTCTAAGAGTCAGTTAGAGTAAAAACTCAAAAATCCTAAAGTCAATAAAAATTACCCTAAATATGATCGTTCAAATAATTTTGGGTCATTTAATCCACCCAAATTTCGTAGCAAGCCTATTATCACAAAAGATGAGTCGATAAAAACATGAAATATTAATCAGATGTAATGCATTCATTTACCTGATCGTAATAAGTAGATCATGTCTGTCACATCATTGTTCATTCGTATTTGTTTTAGATAATCCAGTCGATATTTTATCAATTCGCTATCATAAAATGGTGAATTTGGATCTTCTTTCCATGCATCATTTCCTGAAAAATGTTCATTTTAATATTATTTCGATTTTCTTCAATCTTTTCAAAAAGATGAGTCAACCCCTTCATCCTATATACAAAATTACCTAAAAGTCTTTGGTTTAAAAGATTATATTTAGCGAATTCAATATCAATTTGAACAGCATAAATTTATCGAATTCAAAACCTACAAGTCCAATTCATGAGCTTTAGCTGCCCATTCCTTATACGTTTTTGCATGCCACAAGTCACTCCGTAGTTGGTCAGCAGGCGTTCTCGCATTTCGTAACTTGTAACGAAGGGTCTAGCGGAGTAAAAATAAAACATCATTGCATCTTACAAATAATATAGTATCAAGCTGATGCATCCCTCATTAAAGCACAATGTGAGAAATTTACCCGCCAACATGAGGTTGCTACTTCGAGTACGTAACAAAAAAACGCTGTGGCAAAGTATCTCAGGGTCTGAGCTATACGTGACTATACATATAGCATTAAATTATAGTTAAAAGAAATATATTGATTTTTTCCTAATATTCACTTAATGATAAAGTACCCACCACAGCAGACATATTGCTATATTAAATATTTAAATGGTATAGTTCTCAAGTAAATGAATTTCTTGGATTACGCAAAACCCGAAGTTATTCAGAATTTTTAAACCAAGGTAAAAATGAGTCACTTACGCTAAATGCATTGTCTATATATGCAACTGACATATGAAAGATAGAGATCGAATGACAAAATGTCATATGCTGTGTTGTTTGTTATCACTCTAAACTCTAAATAAAAATCATTGTAAACCTCCCTTAATATTCGGCTTATCAAGTTAATTTTACTCTAAGCCGAATATACATATATATAAATCATAAAATTGCGAGTCGATTTCGTCTTAACGAGTTTGCCTTGTAGTTATCAATAAAAATATTAGGTCTTGGAATTCAATAAGCTATTGCGGACGGCTTGAATTAGAACGGGCATATTTAACTTAATAATAGATATAGAATAAACGAGGCATCAAAATTGAAAGTTCACTTCAAAGACAGAAATAACTGCATTCATTAAAAACATCAAAGAACTTGACACAAGTTAATAAAAAACCACACGCGTAACCTTTTCTTTTTTTAGTAAAGTGGATCTTCAATTATGATCGCGTTTCACATTAAAATGCCGTCATTTATAAATAAACTTGCTAATTCTACGTTACCAATCTTCAATGAAGTATGTCGTCTCTTCAAAAAGATTTATTCAACAAAAGTGCAGCCAGTAAATTACCACCATATCTTCCGCGTGAAGGAGACGACCATGAGGAAGTAATAGAAGAAGAGGATACTTTTGATGCTAATTCAATTGCAAAAAAGTAATTTTGTGTCCACATTTATAAATGTCTTGAAAGAATTATTTTACTTATAAATATAAATGTATTAAATTTACTCCGATAGAAAGTTTACACCGCGCGGAGGAAAAGATTACTCACCGGTACCTTGGGACACTTGTTTCGTCTGTTCACGAGATGTCACGATACCTGGAACTGAAGATATATCCTTTATCATTTCTTCATCCATTCCAAAAAACGAATTCAATCTTTTTAAATAGAAGATCTTGACTTTCTAGGACGCGTATTCTCCACATATTTAGAGTTTACGAAACACCCGCAACAAAAGATAATACTGGTCCGATATTTGTGCTACACCATGGTGCAGGCTACTCGGGGCTTTCGTTCGCACTTTGCGCGTCAAATATTAGACGGGAAATGGAAGGCACAGCATCGATATTAGCTTATGATTGTCGTGGGCATGGTGTGTGTGTAATTATATTTTGATTTTATTAGTTTTTCATGAATAAAAACAAAATCACTTTTAAATACTAAATATATTATTTTAATAATGATGATTGTAGGATTTACGCGTACTTCAGATGACACTAATCTCTCGTTAGATCGATTATCTGAAGATTTAGTGAATGTGGTGAATCTAGTGTATAGCAAAGAGGAATTGAAGAAGCATGATATTTTCTTGATTGGCCATAGGTGTGAAATGATTTATTTTTTTTGAATTTTTTTAAATAAAAATGGATATTGATTTTTATATTGTTAGTATGGGTGGGTGTGTAGTTGCGCATGCTGCTTCAAAACGTTTATTACCATCTGTAACTTGTGTTGCTGTCTTAGATGTAGTTGAGGGTATTTATATTTTATCTTGATCGCAAATTTCTCTTGCGTAAGATTGTAATAATATCTAATTAATATTCAGGATCGGCAATGGAAGCACTATCAGGAATGCACGATTACTTGAGAAATCGGCCGGACGAATTCCGATCCGTAGAACATGCTATAGAGTGGAAGTAAGAATCAATTACAAAAATATTAAATATTCCCATGCAAAAAAAAAAGTTATTTTAATAACGAGTTAATTGATACTTTGGGATTAGCGTAAAATCCGGCACCATTCATAATCTAGCTTCTGCCAAAATATCTGTCCCGTCATTGGTGATTGAAGAGATAGATCAAAGTGGCGCAAAGAAGTATGTGTGGAGGACAAAACTTGAGGCTACGCAGCAGTATTGGGAAGGTAATTAATTTGGCGGAAATTTATGTATGATATCTCTATGTACATACCTTAACAAGATGTTTTGTTTTTTCTAAAGAATGGTTTAAGGGAATGTCGGAAAAATTCTTATCTGCAAACGCAGCAAAGTTACTTATATTGGCCGGTAATTAAATAATTCGATTATTTTGCATTTTACATTTTTCTTTTATATTTCATTTTGTACGGAAATTTTTATTTTTAATCAGGCACTGATCGGTTAGACAAGCCTCTGACCATAGCTCAAATGCAAGGTACTTTCACTTTATCCTTAAAAGTAATATATAAAAAATGTTAATTGTTAGGTTTAATTATAGGAAAATATCAACTTCATGTAATGCCCGAAGCAGGTCATATGTTACAAGAGGATGCACCTGATAGGACTGCTACAGCGTTAGTTGATTTCTTCACAAGAAACGAGAGACTTGTATTGCCAGTGAAAAAATTGACTTTATGATTGAGATATAGGGAGTTCGATCCACATTTCTTTGATTATTTTGTATGTATATTAGTTATTGTGATTTTACAATAAATTATCATAATATTACTTATAGATTGTGTAAAGATTGAAAATAAAATAATAGACAAGAAACCGCCAAAAATATTTAAAGAAATGCAAAATTAAAAAAATCAAATCAAATCTTTGAATACGGATTCACAAGAGTTCCACCATCCACCACAATCAAAGCGCCATTAGTATACGCCCCAGCACGCGACGACAAATAAATACAAGTGCCAACAATATCCTCGGGTGACCCGATCCTCTTTAACGGATTACTGTCCTTAATAACCTCGCCCCTTGTTCTCAGTGTGTGCGCCATCATTTTTGATTCGAATGGTCCTGGAGCGATTACGTTGAATGTTATTAGTCGAGAAGAGGTGAGTTGACCGGCCATTACGCGTGTCAAGTGGTGTAGCGCTGCTTTTGATGCGGCATAGGCGTAAGATTCATTTGTCGAAACTCTGAGTCCTGTTTTATTTTTTTTAGAGGTGAAGATTTGAACATGTAAAAAAAATAACGAGATATAAAGGTATTTTTTCACCATCTATGGATCCAATGTTGATTACGCGTGCAGGGTCTAATGGTGTTGCGGACTTTTCGAGTAGTGGGACTAATCTGTCATCAAATTGATATTCATTTTAATATTACAATCATTAACCCTAATTTCTAAAAAGATTGAATATTTATACAGGCTTAATTACTCTTGTGTTAGACTGAATACGCGTTTTAAATTCAAATTGATGACTTTCTATATTGCGAATCATAGAGATTACATTAAATTAACGAAAGGTTCGTTATGAATAGACGAGCTAAATTTCGACATACTTCGAAAGCTTCATCCGGATACTCGTCAAATTTAGCACCCCAGGCGGCACCAGCATTATTGATTAACACGTGTAACTCTATCAGAAGACAAAAAGAAAATTAATAATGCACATACGGGAAATGAGATAAATTTTTTTTTAAGTAGTAAAATACACTCGCTTTCTTCGCGTTTTTTTAGTTCCGATCCTAGTCGTTTTACTTCGGAAAGTTTTTGTAGGTCTGCTGGAATACTGATTGCTTCTCCCGGACCTACATTTTTTAATCCTATTTAGTTGGGTTTGGTAATTGTTGGCTGTTTGTTTTTATGGTCAAATTTTACCTAGTTTTGTTAATTCTTTTGCTACTTGATCACACACTTTCTCTGATCGCGAAGAAACGTAGACTTTTGCCCCGTTCTCGACGTATCCTCGTGCGATAAGTAAACCGATGCTTTTTACATTTTTGAATCGATTCAAAAGAAATCAATTCAATTGAATTTTCCGAACAATCAATTAATTTCAACTCGGTAAAAATAAATAACGGCCAAAGCGTAAATACGCGTCAAATTCTACATTTTTATAAAATTTCTGCTTGCTTACCCACGCGACCCACCCGTAACTAACACAACTTTGCCCTTCACGTCAAAAAGAGATTGAATATTCATGGCTGTTACTTTCGATGTCGTGAATTTCCTTCCGTAATTATCAGGCTTTTTTTGGAACTGTAGTATGAATGATATTTTATTTCAACAAAAATGCACAGATCTGCATACGTATTCTTTTTTTAGTTTATATAGTTTATATTGACAGCTTATCACTGCTTATCAATAAGGTTCACAATTGTAACAAGATCCTTTCCAGCACACCAGGCAACTAATTTCATCGGACACTTTACGTCGTTGATTCAAACGGGAAAAGATCTCTGCTAAGACATCTTCACCAGGAACTCGTCCTCTTCCCTCTTCCCGAGCTAACTTCTCAAAATGCTGACAACACCGCCGCCACCTCTATGCTCGCGTCTCCGGTGCTGAGCAAAAGAAGACATTGAACGACAAAAGTAGCTTCTCCTCTCTCGATTTCCAGCCCACGAGCTTCTCAGTGATAACGGCTCGGGCATCAATTTCAAATGACCAGGACTTAAGGCCCTATTGGAACGAACAGGTCGTGGAATGGTCGGGAGTTGTGGTTATCCACTGTGATTGACTCTGCCGGTTTGCCTTCGACCTCATCCAATATATATTCTCTCTCCATGCTACAAAACTCGTGTTCTCTTCGATGATGCGACTTCTGACGAGCTCGAGCTTTCCCAAGATATTCTTGCAATCAACATTGTCTTTATCTGCCGAATGCAAGGAAGAAGAGCCGCTATCCACCGACGAGAACACCAAAACAGGCGAAAAGCGCAAGGCGAAAACCAGGACAACGTCAGCACACAACCGCACGCTTCTAATCAAAGTGTACCCAAATAAAAGCAGCTCTTGAAGCGGTGGCTGGGCTTAACGAGATACTTTACTGGGGTTGTCAAGACGTTGTTTCCACAGTAGTTATATCCTTCGCTAGAGATGTTAAACAACATGTTAAAAGATTATATGAGTGACAATTATCCTGAATATATGGTGTCGATTAGCAGTAGCGAATTTTTAAAATAATTACTGTTATGAAGAATCATCGAAGTACCCAGTTCTCAAACATCAAAACCACTTTTTTTAGTGTTTTCAGCGCGGAGCGACTACCACGTCTGAAATCAAACTTCTCCGCGGTGGAGATTATAGAATGGAAGTGTAATGAGAAAGTATTAAGTTACTTTGCAGAACTTTTCGAACGCAACAGTGAGGGTTTTATTGTGTAATATTTATTGTTCAGATCGAAACTTATAATGCCGTTGTCCGCTGGAGTCGATACCGCCGTCTTATACCATCACAACAGGCTTGAAAAAGCCTCAACTTATTAAAGATAAACTTAAGCTTTACGCAGATGTTTGGGCAGGAAAAAATGCTAATGAACATGAAGACAAGAAACTTCAAAAATTTGCAATATGGGGTGAGTGCAAGTTCGTACGAACCGCTGTGCATCTTGGAATGCTGCCTCAGGGTATGCACGGCAAGACGCCTGCGAATTATAAATATTTACTTCTTTATTTATCTAGATGGCAAATATAAAGAAACCCTATAAAATCATTCGTGTTGATTTTCGAGAAAGTGGGACGTTGAGGAAACATTATCCTCATACGTTACATATTATCCCGAATTTCAATTATACGAATTTTGTTATTGTGGATCATTATGATGAAGCATTGATTGCTAGGGAAGACGTACAGTGCCGGTCATAAGTAACCTATCCCCCTTAAAAAAATTCGAAACATTGTAATACCATATCAATGTTTATCACAGTGTTAAAGGTTGATTTATTAGCGTAAGGGTTAGTGTTAAGGTTAGAGTGGAAGGCTAGAGTATATGTAAAATTGTCTCCCCGACGTTTTTAATTAATGCTCCAAGATAGATTAAAGCATATATTTTCCATTTTTTACGTTCGTGCTTCGGATTTGTTTTTTCGGGTTGATCAAAATTTACGCATTCTTATTGGCTTGTTTCTCGGACAGATCACCGGATCCACCAGGCTTTAGCCAACCCCATTTTTTTATATACACGTCCAAAAGGACCAAGGCTGGGACTTGAAGCCATGGCAAACTATATTGGCTGCACTAAACACAGTAATTTATTGGACTAACCGATGGAAGACATAAATGATCAACAAAATCCGGCAAGCGGCGCAGCATTAATGCAAAAAATTGTTAAAATGGCAAAAATAACTAGTACCGAAATACAGCAAAAACTCAAAAAACAAGGTGTTAGCATTGGTGCGAGAACAATTAGACGGCGTCTTGTTGAAGCTGGAGGAAAATCTATGAATAAAATTCCTAAACCGCTACTTAATGAAAATCATCGAATTAAACGACTTACGTTGGGCGAAAATTTTAATTGGAATCAGGTGACTTTTACAGATGAAAGCACATTTCATCAAAAGGAAGACGAAAAATATTTCGTGCGATTAAGCATCTACCGAAGCTTCATGTATGGGGTTGTTTTTCGTCTCGGGGGTTTGGTAAATTAATTTGTTTTCAACGGAATCTCAATGCTGATTTTATGTGTAATATTTACGAGAGGGTCTTTTAGCTTTTGCTGAGAAATTTTTTGGCGAAGGTAACTTAGAGTGGATCTTGCAAGAAGACAACGATCCTAAGCACCGTTCAAAAAATGGAAGGCAGACAATGACATCAATGAACTTCTGTGGCCAGCAATGTCGCCGGATCAAAATCCTATAGAAAATGTTCGGCGACTATTAAAAATTAATATACCCAAAAAAAATTCGATCAGTTAAAGGGTTAAAGGGGGGATTAATGAAAGAGTGGAACCGTCTTCCTAATGAACTTGCCGTAAATATGATTAATAGTATGAAAAACCGAATTTTGGCACTAATTGAGTCCGATGGAGACTATACTATGTACTAGAATTAGGATTCGTCATGTATTTTAAAATAAAAAAAAATTTAAGCTGTTTTATTTTATTTTTGAATGATTTAAAGAGGGTAGGTTACTTACAGTGGCGATTATAATTAATGCAACAAAAAAAATTTCGTTAAATCAAAATATTTCATGCAAGTTCAAAGATATCCCTTTTTTTATGGGTTTTATTCGTTAATAGTATCGTTTTTAGATAGTAAAAATTAAATATTCATTATTATTTCCTATTCAAAAATAAATTCATAATTAGTACAAAACACATGTTGCATTATTTATGCAAAGATCAGTTGGTACCATGTTACAACTTTTTGGTCAAAAAACTACGATGCAATGACGCCACACGACACCAAAAGAACGGGCACAAATTTTTCTTTCTCTCCAAAATGGATACACTACAAGACAAATAGCAAAGCCAAGAAGTATCAATTCATCAACAGTTTCTCATATTAATAAAAAATGGCACAAATAACACGCTCTTAAAGATACAGTAAAGCAAAGTCAACCATCTACCATAAATAAACCAATAAAAAAAATCATCAATTTCAGCATCTCTCGGAGATGTTCATCCACAATAGAAGTTCAAAAACGTATACAAGAAAAAGAGAATATTAATATTTCAGCACCTACCATTTATCATATATTATATGATAATGGTTTGGTATCAGAAATAAAGAAAAAAATCTACCCAAGCAAAGAATATCAAATAAAGTGATTAGCATTTGCATGAAATCACGAAAATTGGAACATTGATAATTGATCAAAAATTATATGATCTAACAGTTCAAATTTAAGATTTTTAGTTCAGATGGAAAGCAATATTATTAAAAATATCTGAAGGAGCCATTAATTAATTTTATATTAAATTTACAGTAAAGTTTAGATGGATCAATAATGATATGAAATTGCTTTATATTTCAGGATGTTGGTGACTTTTGTAAGATTAATAATATAATGAATATTGAATTATATCAACAGATACTTTGTAAAAATTTTATGAATACCATTTTGAATTTCCAAGACTGTCTAGCATTTCATCAATTTTTGAAAGTGAATATGCATCTTTTTGAGTGACTGAATTCAACTTTCTATAATTAATACAAAGTCATTTCTTTCCATTTTTTTTTTAGATATTACAATGATTGGAGAGGTCCAGGAGCTTATTGAAGATCATATAATTCTAGCTTGAAGTATTTTTTGTATCCTTCAGTAATGAATTCTTGATCTGGAATTGTTATTCTATATGGTTATTATTTGATTAAAATAGCACTATCAGTATTTATACATATTGAATATCTTGAATACATCCAAATTTACTAAGTTCTTGTGTAAAAATATCTTTGTATACTTCCAAAAGATTATTTAGTGACAGTTGTTGTATAATAATTAATTCTTTTTGTTGTATAATTAATTTCTCAAATACTTGTTGAATAAAGTAATTTTCTCTTGTAACCAAATTAGTAGAACTGAAATTATCAGTTTCTCTCTCAGTTTTATCAAGTTCTTCTCAAGTTGATACTAAAATTAGCTTTTTAACAAATACTAATTATAGAAAAACTGCTTGAGCAATTCTAGTATTTGAAAGAATATTATAGGATTACTGAGAGTTATTGTGAATTATAATATCAATATTTTTAATATATTTAGTATTAATTATTTCATCTTGAATATTATTACAATTGGAAATTTCTATAATTTCATAATTTATATAATTACTATAATTTCATAATTTGTATAATTTGTATAATTTCATAAAAATATCAAAAATATCAAATATATTCAATATATTCAAAATATTTATTATACTTAATATATTCAATATATTCAAAATATCCAATATATCCAATATTATATTTATTATTATTTTGTAATATTTATTAGTAAAAAATAATTATTATAAATAAAGTATAATTGAAGCTTTGAAAAAGACATCAATTAATCAATACAAAATCTAGCTAATCAATAAATTGCTTCTTATTTATTGTTTAATGAAATTATATATTAATTGATTTTATAATTAATCTTGTTATAACATTCATCTTATTATTTACTATTTAATAATTCAATTAAATTGTTATAAAATATCAATACTATATTACTATAGAATCATCTATATACTAAGTAAATACAAAAAAAATATTTATTAGT